AACAAGCAAAAAGAAGAGCAGTCCCATTCTTTCACGTTCTGCTGTATGTCCTCACCTGCTCCCTTATCCTGACCCTGATGTCTTTCTGATGCAAAGTGAGACGAATCAGTGAGCTGGACCAGCAGAAAACTTACTTTGATTAGTTTTCTGTTTCAGTAATGAGCTGAAATAACTAACCATAGGTTCAGCTCATAGAATCCCAGAATAATTTAGGTTGGAAAGGACCTCTGGAGGTCATAACGGCCCAAAGCCTCTCCTTGAGCACTGCCAAATTGGAATTGCGTTAGGTTGCTCAGAGCTCATATGAGCACAAGAGCCCTGGGGCGGGGATTTTTCTCAGTGGCACAAACTGTTGATTTTTGGAAGTGGAGTGGCCCAACTTAGTTTTCTGAAAATTTGCCTCCTCTTTGTGGCTCTCTGTGGGGTCAAGACAAGCAGTAGTGATAGTACAAGGGCAAAGGAAGGGAGATGCTCCCTGGCAGCTGCTTACTGTTAGGTAAGCTAAACTTAGGTTAAGTAACGGTTGCTTAGGAAAACTGGCCCTATAAACAGCTGAAAAAAAAACAATAAATTGAAGCTTTTGGCAATGAACAGTGTGTGGGGAAATGGTTTACAGCTGTGAGATAAGCACAGTTGGTGGGCATCATGAGCAAAGTTTTAGTGCAGCAGTGAAAGTTGCTGGTGCGTGCTCTGGTAAGGTGAGCAGGACTGAGCGCTCTGCATCGTTCCCTCCTGCGTTCAGTTTGGAGCAGTTCCTTTGGTGCTGTGTCAGCCGCGTTGTTTTGGGGAACTTTTATGCTTTTTCCGTAGGAGTTTTGCAACCTAGCAGTTTCCCACTTGTTAAAACTCTCTGAGGTGGCCTTACTTTATACTGAAGTTGGTAGCGCATCTTGTGTGGTTCTTGACCAGATGGGGAGATCCCTATAACATCAGGCACAGAACTCCAGAAGGAAAATTAACAGACATCTGAAGAAGTCTTCAGGATCCTTTAGGAAGCATCCAGTCACCGAAAGTGGTTATAAATAGTAAGAAGATAACAGTTTATTCAGTCAGAAATCTGTGTTTTTGTGACTGCATAGTTACACTTCAGATATAGCTGGCAGAATTACTCCCATTTTAAAGTGGCTGATGTCTCCTTCTTGTGAAATTGATTGCACGTGGCTCAGCACATCTGGTAGAAACAAGAGAAATGAATTAGCACAGGCTGGTGTTTTCTCAGATTCTAGTTAAAATAAAACCGAAAGCCAGACAAGGCTGCTGAATAATGTCAAATCATGAAATTATAAGACCCTATTTCATTAAATCACTCCAAGTCACAAAAATGAGTGTGTGCATTATGTAAACCTCATTGAAGCAGTCACAGAGAAAATATTTGTGTATATTCAGCAATGCTTTAAATAGTATATTCAACAGTACTATTGGGTACAAAACAACAGCCTTTTTTTTTTTTTTAAGTTTATTTATGCTCTGAATTAACTACACATTTAAATGTAACTTAGCCCATTTCTTTTAGCAGTCTTCTCACCTGTAACAGTGCTTTCATTCCTGAGGGAGCCACAGCCGAATGTGCTAATGTGAGAGTACAGAAAATTATTCACTGCTTCCAGGGCTGGGGCTTGAAACTACGTGTCCCTTCAGAGAAGGTTTGGATAGTGTTTGCCAGTAGGGGCTGGCTGTTTGTAGCAGCAGTCTCCAAACTGATTTAGGGAACTTCATGGGGAAACTCCTCTGAAATTTCTGAATGAAATGAGTTTTCTTAATGTATTATCTGCTTGTACATTGTGCTTGCTTTTATTTCTCTACAAGTAAAGCAGCGATTCCTCGAGCTTGGCAAATAAACACTCCCTTGAATATCTTTACAACTGAAGTGAGAAATAGATTTTTCTAGCATTTATTCTAACAAATGAAGAAATAATTCTTATTACAAAATTATAAAAGAGAAACATAGGGAAAGCTTGCAAATTTTGAGTTCACTCTGACATCAGTCCTGCCTTGACTGGCACTAGGATTTCTCTGAGACATTTTGTAAGGCTGGCAGCCAGGGTTGCGGTTCAGCACGTCTCTGTCTACTGCTTCCTAATTTGGCCTTTTCTTTTTTTTTTTTTTTTGCCAGTAACACACTGGGATTTTCTGGTTGCTTCACAGCTTGTCTACAGAATCCTGGATTTCCCTTCAGAGTCAAGAGAAACCCCATTGTCCTGCACCTTTGTTTAGGCTCTTTAGTGTTTGTGGGAATTGCAAATGAAGTGCCCCCAGTTTTGATTTACGCATCCCTTTGATGTTTAAAAGTTTCTTTGAAGTACTGACTCTTCTACCTGTGTTTATTCTTGTTCTATCAACTCATGGGATTTTTGCAAATCCTTTGTTATAAATATTTCTCCACTGAGATCACCCATGCGCATGTATGGTTGCAGGGCAGAGCGATTCAGCTATCAGTAACTATTACATCCCTGTTGTTCCCCTCTACCAGCATAGCTCCATGTCAGAGATCTTGTGTTACACTGTCACCTGTAGCAGTGTGACAGTGACAGTGTGTCCTGGAAAATATTTAATTGTAAGAAGCACTAAACTTAAATCACATTGATGTCACTGTATTTCTTTTTTTACCAGCAAAGTTAATGTTTCTGATAATATTATAATCTCAAACATTGATAATATTATAATCTCAAACATATACTAATAAAACCCTATGACTCTACTTCCGCAGTCATTCTCTGTGGCATAAAAAGACTTTACTTTAGAAGTAAACATTACTGAATGACTGTGTACTTGCCTCTTGCACCGTTTACAGAACCCTGGTTGCACTAAAGCAAGAAAATTAAAAGTTACGTGTTCCATAAGTCTTACCTTGCTCATATAACAAATATAATGGGGCTAGTTCATGGATGCGCTGTATATTGTGTTATTTACATCACTGCAAAGTAAGTGCACAGTGGGTGTAAACCACCTGCAAGACAACCACAGAACATTTTGCATTTTAATTTTTGTGCAAGTTATTCGTATAAGTACCTAGAGGTACTTATAAGTACCTACTCCCTAAGGGTAGAGTAGTGACAGTAAATTTCATCATTTCATAGCAGTGAGCTAAAGTGTACACAAGATTTACTAAAGATAGCAGTAAATTTTGGCAGAGGGAGGACTGGAACCTGGACCTTTTCCACTGTAGCTCTTGACCTGCGTGTCCTAAATATACCTCTGCTAGAAGACCTTGCTGTGGCACCTAGTTCATAGGCTGGGAGTTAGACTCCCTTTGCCCTCCTGGACTCACTGGTCTCTCTGAATACCCCCTCCAGCAGTGGAGCTGTGCCCTGGCACTGCGTACGAAGCAGAAATGCCGAAGTGGCTAAAAGACCCAGTGGCTAAAAGTTTCCCAGAGAGAACCTGGACCTGGAGGAATGCTTCATCCAAGTTTCCATATTCTTGAAGTGTTTTAGTCCTGCATTGCAATATAAAAATTTGTCCTGTTTTAGAGCTACCTGAATGAACTAACTTCTCCGGCTTTCTTGGACCTGGAAGCCAGGTCCTATATAGTCTCAATGGAGAGGGCACAATGAGACCCCAAAGTCAAATCAGAAGAACAAAGTGGGGTCCTCCACCTCCGGTGGCTTGTTCATGTAAGGCCAAAGTAAGATGCCACTGGTGGAACTTTGTACAGATCTTCACATAATAACCATGCCATTTGCTTAGTCTGTGCTTTGGTGAGTAGTGAAGTAGTTAACAGTGGTGTCAGCTAACTGCCTTTTGTCTGGAATGTCTCCTGACTTGAGTCTTGCTGCTGTCACCTCACAGCCCACTGATCTTCTCCAGAGCTCTAAAAGTTGTACTCAGCTCAGCTTGCTTCTTCTGAGCTGTACACAGGAAACAACTTTTCTGTGCCAAGGGAATGAGTCTTTGCTCAGAATAACTACTCATAAAACTCTGTAGAAAAACCTTAAGACATTGCTTATATGCCCACAGTTGTGCCACCATCAGTGTGTTGCATCCTATCCTGGTATCATTCGTTCATTACATTCTGTTTCCTTTTCCAAGATTTTCTTTCAACTGTAGCGTGCTTCACTTCAAAAGACTTTTTTCTAATTCAGAGACGCATTTGCAAAAACACAGTGAGGTCTTAAGGTCTGGCAAACAAGACATCCTAAAGGTCACTGTGCGTTTTTTCAAAATCTAGGAGGGTTTGTTTTTTTTTTTTCTTTACAACAGAAGTTTAAATCTGAAGGAAACATTCATCTGCTGAGCTGGGCCAACTCATCTCCAGCCCAAGGCAGAACTTGGCAAAGGCAAATAACCAAATTTAGCGGGGTTGTGGGCAAATACAACAGAGACCTGGTGTTGTCATGGAAGGTTTGAGAAGAGAATGAATGGACCATGTGCTATCTGCCAGCAGACGTTATCACTTCACTTACCTCTGGCAGTAGCTGAAAGGAGCAGGTCCGCTTACGTAACTAAGATGAGTTGTTACTTTAGGCCACGAGTTACTAATTTTTTGTAGTACTACTTTTTTGACGTCTTTGCAGAGGTCAGGGATGGAGCTAGTGTCTTCCATTGCAGTTTACTGGTAATTTAGGGACAAAGCAAATTTGGCATCTGCCTTGAGAGAGGGGATTTCCAACACAGCACTGGCTCTGTGACTGTCAGGCAGGTCTTGACTGATCCTTCTCCTAGGAATGCTTTCCATGCATTTTACATGATCTCTGACAGGTCACCACCCGCATAAGTAAAAGATGTAGGTGCCAGTTATTTTCAGGAAGAAGATATGCCTGGAAGCATGATCCTTCTGGAGCTCCCTCCATCCAGGCTAAGCCACAGTACCCCGTGGTTCAAGTGCTGAACCAGGAATCAGTGCATTTGTTTTTTATTCTGGCATGGAGAGCGACAGCCTGTGTATTCAGGGGACTGTGAATACTGCAGGCTTTTCCATGACACTGTTTAAAGATGGAGGCTGCTCTTGTTTTGATTCTCGCCTGATTTAATTATATTTGCTTTTTCTCTTTTTATTTCAGTTGTGATTCCAAAGAGCCCTTTACCTGCCTCCGAAGTAAACTCGGAGAAACCTAGCATGCACAGTAGCACAAAGACTGTTTTGGGGCATCAACAAGGGCAAAGGCGTCGCAAAACAGGGAAGAAGCGTGGTCGAACGACCAAAGCACTAATCCATCACCCCATGCCTACACCCTCCAAGTCAGTGGAGCCTTTGAAATTCCCCAGAAAGAGAGGCCCAAAGCCTGGCAGTAAGGTAAAAGCTGATGCTGATACAGGCGGGTGAAAAGCAAGTGCTGCAAGTTCTGCCATGGGATGGTGCATGCGTGTGTTTGTGCACGTTTGTCTCAGCCTTTGGCTATCTAACTGCAGCAACTAGGAGCCCAAAGGGGTATAAGGGGCTGGGAATATCCCTTAGAGTCCAGCCTGAGAGTCGTAGAGAAAGTCTGTGTCTAAAAGATCATTTCCATCAAGAAGCTGTGTCTTTGGAGCTGCATTAGCTGTGGAGTAGCATGGCAGATGCTGTGGTCATGACAGGATGGCCAAACAGTGGAATATTACCTTTTCTGTCCATCATATGTATCTAATCTAAGTCAAGCAGAGGTGCAGGTCTCAGCCTTGTTATTTTTTCAGGATCGTGGTTTATAAAATATACACATACTGATTGTGTAGGTTCCCAAGACTCCCCATCATCACCATCAGAAATGTGTCATGTTCCACAGTGCCTTGTCTGTTGGATGCAGAGAAGAGAGTGTAGTGATCATGAGTGGTAAAGGAGAACGGGGGTAAAAGGAGACATATCCTCATCTTTTTCTGCAGAGGAAACCTAGGACATTGCTGAATCCAGCACCCACATCTCCAACAACCAGTACCCCAGAACCAGATACAAGCACTGTGCCCCAAGACGCTGCTACAATCCCCAGCTCTGCTATGCAGGCTCCCACAGGTAAGGGTATTGAATCACATTCTTGAAAAGATGATACAGTTAGAAGCTACATCATTCAGAAAGTGACACTTCAAGATACTCCCTTTTCTTCATAAACCAGCAAGCATTGCAACTCCAGAAACGAAAGAGTGACTTAATTCAGAGAGTGGCTAGAGGAAAAGAGACATGCAAGTTCTGATCACCTGTTCTTTTATCTCTTTTTCTGTATCAGAAATATGGAGTCATAGGAAGGTAGCAAGTCCATTTGGTCAGTACAGAGACCTCTTTCCCTTTTTTTTTACCATGCACATGTTAGTGACTCAAAAGCTCTGGAAGGGGAATTCTTGTGACTCATCGTGCCCAGAGTCAGTGTTGTGTGCAACACCTCTCTTATGAGACCGAGTACCAGATCTCTCAAATCATTCCAGAAACAGTTGCTGAAGCTACAGCAAGATTCAGAATAACTCCTG